CTAATTCACTAATTTTCTTACTTTCTATTTTTTCAGAAGATTCTTCTTTAAAATAATTATAAGCAGGTACACTAAAATCAGTCTGATTATTTCCCTCCATATAATTATTTATGCCATAAATTGGCATATTTTAATATTCACTTTGTACATCAAATTCTTGTGGTATGTATTGACAATCAATATAATCTTGTGCTTGATAAGTATTTTCACTACTTTCTATATTAGTAAAAAACTCATCATTATAATTTTGTGTATAATCAATATATATAACATCATAGGTGTTATAATAACTATCATATGGATAGTGTATATAACTGTTGTTTATTTCAAATTCACTATTACTTGAATTTTGTAAGACTACTTCTTGTTCATTTTTTACCTTTTTGTTACTAATAGCCTTAGTGATTTTCTTTATATTTCTTTTTTTCTTACCTTTAAGATTTTTTCCTCTTGCTGTCTTTGAAACCATCTTTATAAGGGTTATTACTTTATTTAAATAAATAATCAATTTCCTAAATGTATAAAAAGCATAAAATTTCTATATAAGGTAATGATTAAAAATTTATGTTTAAAAAGCATAATTGAAATTTAAATATTTATTATCGATTTGAAAATACCTGAATAACATCTTCGTCTTGTAAAATATGATTTAAACCAACTTTCTGAGGGTTATGTTTTACTGATCTACCCCAAACAAATGCAAACTTAAATTTTAAATAAAAAGTTTTATGAATCACTCTACATAAATCTTTTACTGTTGGTGCATTCTTAAGAATTACTGGTTCCTTAAAATCAGGATCTTCTCCTTTCTTTTTTGTATAAATTCTCGTAAAAAAAAGTAATTTCCAAATTTCATCTTTAAAACCTTTAATATTCCATTTTTTAGAACAACTGATTAAAGATGCTTCTTTTGGTAAACTACTTAGTTCATCCATTGTCAATTCATCAACCTTGTTATAAACATAAACACATGGAACATATGATACATTACCACTCAAAACGTCAATAAGATCGTCT